GCCACAGGGTCGCGCCCGTCGCCGGCCCTTGCCTGCTGCTGGAAGTGGATGATGCCCTGCACGGGGCCCTCCCCCTTCATCACGCAGACGGCCTTCAGCGTCGCCATGTTGTTCCCGCGGCGGCCGGAGAGCGGCACCCAGCACAGACCCCCGCCAACAGCCAACGAGGACTAGGGCACCGCCCCTCCCGCCGCCCTTATATGGGGCGCCCGTCAGCGCCGCGGCCAATCGCGGTGCGCAGGCGGGTCGCCTCGAGCAACGGTTGCGCCGGGTTCGGCCAATCCAGGGGGACGGGAGGCGGCAGCGCGCGGGCGCGCACCAATCAGCGGCATCCGCCTCCGGAGCCAATCGGCGGGGGAGCCGCCCTCTGGCGGTGGGGGCGGTTGTGTAACGGCGGTGGCCCCCGCGGGTGGCGTTGTGGCCGCGGGCGAGAGGCTTGAGGCGGGAGGCGGCGCCGTGAGGGCGGGGGGGAAGAGGGGGCTTCCCGGTCGGCTGCGGAGTGGTGCCCGGGCTCCGGCACTGCAGGCAGCAGGGGGGAAGGGGTCAGGCTCCGCGCTTTGGCCTACCCCGCCTTTTCTCTCGAGAGCCTGCGGGAATTTGCTCCTGCGTTTCACGTCGCGGTGGCACCTGGGCCCTAAGGAGGCCCGGCGCGTGCAGCATCTCACCTTGAAGGTTTCTCTCTCAAATCATCGGGCTTCAGTTCCTTCCTCTTCTAATGTTACAATTTAGCCCACACATAAACCTTTTTCTTTAGACGTGCCCTGACCTTGTGACATGAGGAGAGGCAGCATCGCTGTTGTTTTCCTATTCAGCAGACGTTTTTCTTTGCATCTCCTTCCCTCCCCTGGAGGCCATTACTGTGACTGAGGTGTGGCGCATCATGAACTCCCATCTAAAATTGGAATGCGGTTTTGAAGCTGCTTCTGAACAGTTTCGCGTTTCAAGATAAGTTGCCCTGCCTGGAAGATGTTTTGTACAAGAAGCCATCAAAGTTACAATGCGAAGCAAAGTGTGTGGCTCGGCTGCTGACTTGTCTTGGAGACACCGGTGCACATAGGCTGTCACAGCAACAGGCTGGGTAGGTAGTATGGAGCTCAGGGCTCTGCTTAAAATGAAAAAAGTCTTGGCGTAGGCATGGACCACTCCTTGTCTGAGGAATGTGTAGGGGGGAGATGAAAAAATAGATTCTCCCCCCGCTGATAACATTGACAAATCTTAGACTCCGAGGGGAGGTTAACACCAGACTTGAGGAGCATACAGTTCTGTGGTCTTGTTCAAAGATCTGCAGCCTTTGAGCATTTTGAGAAAGATAGCATTTAATTAATTCTTTTGGCAAAACTATGTTGTTTGTTTTTCTGCTCCATTGTTGCTGGAGAAGTTAAATCAGAAATACGAAATGATTTTACAATACTTGGGACTTTAGGTAATCTGTGTATATCACGAAGGTATAAATGACTTAAAGCCCAGGTGGTTTTAAGTTGTCTGGTTGAGAGTGCCATATGGTCAGGCAAGGACTTACAAGGTTAGCTTCACACATCAGACTTGGCCATGACACCAGATCATGCCTCAGGTGGCATGACTGAAACAAACAGGGATTTGTTTGCTTGAGTGGTGTATTTCTCTGCTTGAGGAAGAAGAAGCAGGGAAAAAAAACCCCACATAAATACATGGGGACTATTTGAGAAACAGATAAAGATTTGTAGTTTAATCCTGGAAAGAAGCTGAGAGAGAAGGAGAGCTGGGCCGCTTCCTATCTAGGAGGCATCTCGGCGCTGTGAGTTACACTCCCTAGAATTTCATTCCTGATGTGCCTGGAGAGAAGAGACTCTGTAAATTACTTGTGAGCAAACAGGTCTGTGTTCATGGCACAACAGGCAGCAACCTAGGTGCTTGCTACATCAAGAGGAAAGATTCCAGTGCCCTTGAGGCAAATCTTGTTTGATGTAAAATGGTTTGCAAACCTGAAGGGATAGTAGTGACTCATTTTCCTTTCCATTGTCTTTGGCTTCCCATATCACTATCTTTATTTATCAGTGCCTCTCAGAAACAGGGGCATCTTGAGTGCCGTGCTGTAATGCTTTCTCTTATTTTTAGGCTTGTGTCCAAATCTGACTATTATCAGATAGGTTTATTCCTTCCTTCCTGGAAGTATGTTTTCAAGATCTGCCCTTCTTTGCCCCTCTACCTGAATGTGGGACAAACAGATGGATAAGAGCCAGATGTGCCAGGCTTCTTAGTATGCAAAGTGAAATAATACTGATTCCAGACATTTATCACATTCGGTATCGATGTCAGGTTGCCTGTGAAGGTACCCTGAGGTGCCTGGTGCCTAAGTTAGGCAGAATGCAGCTAACAAAGCTGAGGTGCTAAGAGACACCATGGTGAAGAGATCAGCAGTAGGAGGCTAAAGGAGAGATGTGAATTTCAAGAACAAATATACAAGAGTTTGTATGGTGCATGCAGAAAGAGATCAGTAATCTTATATAGCTAATGGCCTCACCCTTTAGAGTGTTTTCTATTATTCTTTTCTTTCACAAGTACAATAGAAATACAAAAGTGTTAGTTTACAGGTATAGTCTTTCACGTGAGTCTTACACAAGAAGCCAGGGGAAGGGTTTGTTTATGTTTTCTTCCACATACTTCCTTTTAACTCATTCGTTTTCTTAAATCTCATCAGTAGGTGAAAAAATCCACCCCAAAGAAGCTGAGGAGGGTGTTTGGTAGCAATGCCATATTTTGTTATGTGGAGTATTGGAGTCAAAGCACAAAGCAAAGAAGAAAAAGCACAAGGTGAGATTACAAACTTAGATAGTAGGAACCACGGTAGGACAGAGGATCTGGCAGGCGTGAGAAAGGGTGGCATCTCTTGCAACTATCACACCTCTTGTTTGACATCCCCCTTTGCCCCATACCCTGGTTCTGCCATCCCAGCATGGAGGAAGCCTGGAGCTGCACCTTCACAGGTGAACTGGTGATAAAGTGGGCTGAACAGGAGCCCAGAGGATGGAAACGAAGACAGGACAAACTTAAGGCTGGGTGGACACACAGCTTCATCTCTTTGCCCTGTTCTGTAGTTGCCTGCAAAGCACGTCGGCTGTAGCAGGGGACTGAAGCAGTTTTTAATGTTGATCAAAAGGGTTGCTCTCGCTGTGTAAACGTAGACACACAGGGATCTCTGACGAACTAGGATTCAAGATAGTCATGGTTATTTCCTAATTTGCCAGCAATTTAGGAGAGTGAAGGGCAAACCATTAGGGCAAATGGGATAATTACTGTGTGATGTAGGTTAACTGAAGTCCAGTCTGTGTAGACAGAAGCTAATAAACTTCTAAGGAAAATGTGCAGAAGTCACAAAAAATCCCAAACCCTTATGTGCCGTAAAAATATGGCATATATCAAGCATGAAACCCATGCAGTACATTAACATACTTTCTGATTGAGATTTTGTATGGATTAAAAAATTAGAGGGAATTTTGAGGGCTGTGGTTCTCAGGGCAACCATACCTCTGGTGCCTTGTGCAAATATATAGTATTTTCTACTTGTGATAACTCTTCTGGGAAAATACAGACTGAAACTGAGGTTGCAATGGCAAACCACTCCAGATTGACTGTGCTTGTGTGCATAGGTGCTCACTCATCAAGATGACTGTCCACAAATCTGCATTAATGTATTTTTTTTTCTGTTTATTCCCTTATATCAAGAAAAGCAAACAGAAAAACATGAATTTTTGAATAATAATCCTTCCTATTGGTCCATTACGTCCTTGAATGTGTGTCTCTGGAGGGGAGGGTGCTGGTGGGATAAGTACAGGTGTGCTAATCCCAGCATGCAGGAAAGCAGACAACTTCTCCACAGCTTTGTACTCTAGCACCTGAGAATCCTGGTGGGGCTGGATCAAAGCAGTCCTTCCTTCTGCTCCTGGAGCAGATCTTTGGTGATTCTTAACCCATTTTTCCAGCTCAGCGGTTGAGTAACCCCTGTTACACAAAGGTGATGAGCAATGGCCTCCCAGTGCTGTAATGGACAAGTTGCAGAGTCTTGTCATCTAGATCTTCTCTTTGGAAAGGTGGAAGCTGCATTTCCAATGTTAGCGTGACCTTGCACTGTGGCACTGGAGAACACTTGTTGCATTTGAGAATCACCTAATGCACAGAGAACACGATATATGCATGTTAGCTCAGGCTTGCTCAGTAAGGAGAGTGCTGAACCACATGTAGATTATTATTATGGATTTTGAATGGTCTGGAAGAGGCTTGTGGGTTGGTTTGTTTTTTTCCTTTGGGATCCCACAGCCTAGATGCTGGCATTTCCTTCTGTCTAATGCTTTGTCACTGGACCCAGCTGTCTACATATCGGTGTCTAGTACCATCTGAGATACTCCAGGCTATCTCCTCTGGCCTCTAGCTGCTGCAGAAGGGGTCCTGGAGCTGCTGTTACCTACCTGCCAGCCCTCTATGCATCCCTGAAGGCACTCCATGGCGTCTCAAGGAGCACTAGATACCTACACTGAGAAACCAAAACAAACCCCAAGCCTTTGTGTTGTTCTGGGCAAGACATCCTGTGTCATTTAAGTCTTCTCCTTTGATTACACATGGGTAATGACACTTCCCTGCCTCTAAGGGATGCTGGGAGAGGTAATTAACTGAGTTTATGTTTGTATAACATTTTGGAGATGAAATGTGCTGTGGAAATTATTAAGTGGTATTTCACTAGAAACTTTGTGATGGTGGCTCCCTAGTGGAAAGCCTGCTGTTCCAATTAAGGGATAGTGGTGCTGATAACCAAAGTATTCATGTAATTAAAATAGTGTGAGCTGGAAAGCCTTTACATGGAACGTACAAGATTAAAAATAACATTCACTTTTAGTAGCTGAACTGAGCTAATCTGTCTGCTGCAGGTCCCTCATCCTCCACTGCTTGACAAGCTGAGTAAACTTGAAACATGAGACTCAACGGAGAGGTTGTGTAAATGTTGATGAAGACCTTTGTACCCAGCATGGGGCTTGCAGCCGTAAGTTACTACAACCCTTCTAGGGCACTGGTGCTATTCAAGGTCTGCCCACTGATTTGTTTTATTTTTTCTTCTTTTTTGCTTGTTAACATTCACCAAGGGCTGGACTTTAAATATTTCATGCAATACCGAAGCCTGCGCATGTTGGTCCAGTGTGTATTTCTAGTGAATTCGAGGGATTGTACAGGTTCCCTGCTGAACCAACCACCCGTGGAGGTCAGCAGCGGGCGGTCTGTCACAGCAGCACAAAACCCATGCTCGATGTCCTCTCTCTCCCGTGCATCCCGCTGTGGGCACGCTCTGAAGGAACGGGGCGGTAGGTGCCTGTGTGGGGCAGGAGCACCCGCAGGAGAAGGGTGCTCCTGGCAGTGCCTGTTGCCAGGAGGATTTCAGACCGGGTTCCTAGCAGTTGCCAGCACTGTGCTAAAGGCACAGGGAAACTACTAGAAAGAGTCCAGCGAAGGGCAACAAAGATGGTTCAAGGATTGGAGCATCTCCCTTATGAGGAGAGACTGAGAGAGCTGGGACTCTTTAGTCTGGAGAAGAAAAGGCTGAGGGGAGACCTTATCAATGCCTACAAGTATCTCAAGGGAGGGTTGAAGGAGGAGGGAGCCAGACTCTTTTCAGTGGTTCCCACCGAGAGGACGAGGGGCAACGGGCACAAGTTGGAACATAAGAGGTTCCACTCAAATATGAGGAGAAACTTCTTCAAGGTGAGGGTGACAGAGCCCTGGAACAGGCTGCCCAGGGAGGTTGTGGAGTCCCCTTCCTTGGAGATTTTCAAGACCCGCCTGGATGCAGTCCTGAGCAACATGCTCTAGCTCTAGGCAATCCTGCTTCGGCAGGGGAGTTGGACTAGATGATCTCTATGGTCCCTTCCAACTCTAAAAATTCAGTGAAATTCAGTGAAATTCAGTGAAAATGCTGACAATTTTTTAATTATGTTAATAAGACTATGATATTCTTCACCTCTGTCTCCCTGAAAGAGCAGAAGTAGCTTGTAAGAGAAACCATAGCCCTCTGTTTCTATTCAAAAGGCTGTTTGACCTTTGGCTATAAAAGATTCCTAGAAAACGAGGAGTCCCTGGCAGGCACAGCCGATCCTGCAGCGCCGCGCTCAGAGCTCGTGGGCTGGAGCTCCTGCACGCCCCGCAGCTCTCGGGAGGCTTTCCCCATGGAAACAGCCTGACAGGCCGAAACCAGGAGCACAAAGGAGCTGACACTGACAGGCAGGAGTGTCCTACGCAAGACGGAATGGATGCACACATGGATCCTCTGGATTCTCCGGGTGCCTCCAGAAAAAGTAATGTGCAGAGGTCTTTGTTGGAGCTGGTGCTACAGCGCAAAGTGATGACTGCAATCAAACTGAACTGCGAAAAACATAGATGAAGTTTAAAATGGCTTTTAAACTATTTACTGGATTTTTATTTTTTTTTACTGGGCTATTTTTTTTTACTGGTTAAGGTGATGAAAATGATAATTTGAGGTCTTATTCTCCTGCACGTACTTATTTTAACCCAGCGTTGCTTCATCAGCCTCAGTGCATACACTCTCCATCTCTGAGTAGCTTATTTCCTCACTTGGATTACAGGCAGAGAAGCACAACTGCAACCAGCAGCCACAGAAAACGGCTGCCCCGGTGTGGACCCTGCCGAGGTGATGGGCATCTCCCCTCTGGCCATGGCAGCCCCCCGCAGCCCCCACCTCCTGCCACTTCGGGGGGCTGGGGCAGAAGGCCATGGGCAAGCCCCGGGATTGCGTGCCGCAGCTGGATTCACCAGAGCAAAAATCAGGCCCAGAGGGTTTGGGTTTCTGCTGTCACACAGGAGCAGAGGGCTGTCGGCATGGCCAAGGTAGGGCAGACCAGAGTCCTGTGGGTCCTTCACCCCGTTTCTGGCAAACAGGCATCTCTTGAGGCTGTGCCAGCAGAGTTCCGTGGCGTGACGCCAGGCTGTCGGACGGCGCCACACCAAGCCCAGGGGCAGCGGAGCAGGAGGTGCTTGAGCTCCGGCATGGCAGCCAGTGCTTATCGGGCTTCTGCACCCTCAGGAGGAAAACAAGTTTGTGCATATTTGAAGGTACTCGGTGGCTGCTGGCAAGGCTGCTTCTGGGAGCAAAGCACGCTTCACGTTACCGGTGATTCAAGTTTTTGTCAGGAAGAAGAAATGAAAACATTACGTTTGAAACTGGTCAAAGCCAGAATGTTATCCAGAAAAGTAATCTGAAATATTTTTTTTTTTTTTTTTTAATTTAGAGACCATCAAAATGTTTATGTGTTCAGGAATGTTATTTTGCCCACTGAAAGAGTCCAGGCACCTAAATGGATGCAACAAAAACATTGTGTGTATAAATATATATTAGGAAAATACATTTAAAATATCAACTAGGATAAAAATCAATGAATTCTGAAGAAAGCCTGTACTTTTAAAACATTATATATGTTATATATAATGACCTACTAAGTATTTAATTCACAGCATAGAAAAAGAAAAGCTTAGTCCTAGATTTTTAGCTAGAATTTTATTTGTAAAAGTCCTTATAGTTGTAACTAAACTCTTGATGTTACTTAATATATAAGTTGCTTTGCAAATCCCAACCCACGTAAGCATATGCCAGAGGTAACTTCCCATGTGGCTTCATTTGGATATACTCTTCAGCACTCCCTGACACAAACTGTTCTATACTCTCTCTTCCATGTTTACTACATTTAAATTTTAGTAGTACAGCAGGTATCAGTATGCCAGAGGATGAGGTGGTTTGGTTGGGTGGGTGTTTTTTTACTTAACTCAGCTGTGTTGGCTAATCCTGGAGATACAATTGTTTGATTCAGTAAAAAAGCACAGTGAAAATGCTAATTAATATGCAATTAGAAAATACCGAAGTGATACAAGAGGGTAAACTATCCCATATCTGCAGTGGGAAATCAAGACTGCCAAACAGAATATGTCTAGGCAGGTCTCCAGAATAACAAAGATGTGTTTTTATTTGGATTTTTAAACACGTGGTTTCTTCTCTGGGGACGCTGGGTGGTTGGGGAGCGGCCGAGTTCTTTCATGTGCAAGAAGTAGAACTCAGCTTGGGTTTGTACAGCTGTCAGTGAAACGAGACTTCTGGGTGCTATGTTAATACAAATAATAAATGGGAATGCAGCTGCAAAATACATTAGCCAGGTATTATAATACAATTTCCACAGTACCACGCAATTAATATTTATGTGACCACTTTGCATCTGCTAGGAAGTTTTTTCCGTAGGTCAGCAGACATCTCCAGCTTTGCCAAAAGGCCAAAGTGCGCCGCGGGAGCAAGCGTGCGGACTTTGCACCCAGCGTGCACGCCGGGAACCATCCTCCCTCTGGGTTTGTGTGATCTGGAATGTCTTCACAAAACGTGGCCAGAGCGGATATACAAGTTCCCAGACAGGACTCGAGCACTGTCACCCTTGGTTTTGGTGGACAGAAGAAAAAGTCCCCTTCCACATTCACTTGTAAGTGTCGAGAGACTTTTAAACACCCGCCGGTAGGTCTCCCCCAGGGCCAAGCTTTGTCACTGCTCTGGAACAGGCTGTGGCATCCACGGAAACCTGCGTCTGCATCGAACTACGTCCAGCTCTGTTGGTGATGCTCCCCAGCTCATCAGTGCCGGGGACTCCGAATGGGCACCTGGGCCTGGCCGGACAGTCCCCGTACCTTTCCAGAAATGCAGCAATTTACACCTCCTAACAGCCACCTGGCAGGCAGCTCACCAAGTCACGTGGCTGCAAACTGCTTGCCTATGCTGGTCTGTCACAACTGTGGAGGAAGATGAGGTTTTGGAACCCTCTGGTTCCTGCTGGAGAGCAGCGCCGCTTCCTGACTTCATGCAGTTATTCCCTAATCCGGTCCTGTCGCTGTGATCCAGGCTAGTTTGCACACTTTTAATAGCAGGGATTTTCTAGCTGGGATCACTCTGACATAACGTGGTTAAAGAGCAGTTCCACGTGTAATTATCCTGGGACGTCTGAGGGACAATGGCAGCCTTTGCTCAGGGCAGACTGACGGAGCTGCTCGGCATGGGTGGGTGCAATGCAGCACCTGCCACGGAGTACCAGACACCTCTCCAGACCCAAGTTCTCACCATGAATGTTCATTGCATCCTCAGATGGCACCCCTCTGGCAAACAACCAGCCCAGAGAGCTTCCACAAAGTAATTCTCGTGCCATTTTTACAGCAAGTCCCAGCTGCCACCACTGAGTGCCGGCCATGGCACTGGGATCTGGGCACGAACCAGAGGCACTCCTTGTAGGAGTGTGCCATCCTGCAGAGGTGGAATGATCAAGAGCAGACCGTTTGCTTCAGGACATGGAAGGCCACTTCCGTGGCACTAGCTCTGGATGTGCCATTTTCATTTTTTATGAATGAAAGCCGTTTCTCATTTCATTTTCTCTTGTTTGAGCCACGGGTGAGCACTGCCCTCGGGCAGCCCTGCCTTCTGGCAGTGACAGGGACCCACCGACTGGGATTACTGCAGCTCAGAGCTGGTGAGTACCTTGAAGAGACTGCCACTGGGAGGCATGCAAAGCCATCTGCTGCTTAGTTTCCCCAGGAGCTTTTGGCGTTTCATGACATCCAGAGCATCATGACTGTATTTTGGAGAAACAGCAATCACAGCAGCTATTCCTGGGTCACTGCAGGGACACTTGTGTTCACCCTGCCATCTGCAGGAGAAGCAATCACTGCCATCGTGGTGGGTTTGCTCGACTATGCTGTGTGAACTTGCAGCAGAGGCAATTCATGCCCAACCACATGAGCGCCATCACTTACAATGCCCTCCTGTTTCTGATCAACATCCCTGTCGTGATCTTGGTTATGACTCTGTGGTGGAGACAGCACCCATGTAGAGTTTTCAGGTTGGATTTGTCAATTGTGCCTGTCTCTGAGTAGCTGAGGGCCTGCTGGTGGTACCTCTGAGATGGTTTGTTGCCAGCACAGAAGACATTGTTTGGATGCCCAGGACCTGCTGTGTGCCTGGGGGTGGTAGGGGAGCCTTTAGCCTACCTCCATGTGTAGAGCATGGCCTCAGCCCACAAGAGCTCCCATCACAGAAGGATCACCTCTGTGCTGGTCAGTGAGTCATGCCCCTTATCTCCCCAGATACTGTCCTTTCTTTGATTTGACTGTGAGATCTCCAGCTCCTCTCTCTGTTAAGCCACCACCCTGCTTCTTTACAGGGTTTTCTCATTGCTTTCACCTCACCAACCTCTGCACACCAAACTCCTCCTGTCCAGGCAGCCCAGGCCATGACTCCTCACCCCTGTGGGGCATAAAAAAATAATGAAATGTTTTCTGTCTGAAAGCAGGAGAATTTCCCACACTGGACCGCCTTTCTGCTTTCTTCCCTTGCTTTGAAGGCAGGGGATGGTGTCCTTTAGGGCTCTGCTAGGAGCCTGCCATGAGTCGCCCTCACAAATGCTTGAGTGGATGCAGAAACATGTCCTGGCCAGGTTTTGTGATCCTGCGGT